CTGTTTGTAATGTTATTGCTGCTGTTGCTAAACATATGTACATATAGCATTAATTAATTAATTAATTAATTAATTAATCACAGGACCATAAATAACTCTATTTAGTACCTGTAAAATTTACATAAACTAATAATTAATACTGACACATACTGTTTATCATACCCCTAACTGCTTCTAGAGGTAGTCATGCATAATGCATTCTCTACATTCCTCAAGGCATACGAGACCACATAATTATATGTATCAAAAAAAAAGTACTTACACTGTTGGTTTAATTATAACATTTGTCATACACAATCCCAGGCAATTTAACTATGAACATTTAAAAAAAAAAAATTTATCGAAATTATGACTAAACCAGAACTTGTGTGTTTCGAGTGTCAATGTACGGAAATCTGCCAGCTGGGACACACATGCCATGCTATTTACCTCTTTTGCACAGACATCATTTTATCAGAGCCAGCAAAAATGTAAACGTGTTCAGCTTGAGTCGAGTCTAGCTAGGATAATTCCTCGGGGTTGAAACTCTGATAGGACTGAGCTTTGATATGGCCCCAACTGTCTAAAAGAGAAATCCCAGTTACGGGTGCTGTTCCTGCTGAATTTTTGGCGACGTTTGGCCAGAACCGTATAAACGCTCAACAGATAATCTCTTGTTAAATGGTAGGAGAAGCAGTAGTTCGGCTCTGATAAAATGCTGCCATGTAGACCTTGCAATTGTTTCTACAAACTTGTCTCACTTTTCGTATTCCGAGCTACATCGTAACATGTATAACTTGCAATACATATATCTCTCACTAGTGCAGAATGTAGCAGGAGCTGGAATTAAAAATTAAAGTTGCTTGCCCCTTAGACAAGTTGGAGAATACAACTGCCTATCTCAATCAATGATGTGATATCTCTAGCAATAAAAATTAATTTTAGGCAATATTTGAAATAAAGTTTTAAAAATTCTGAAACCTAAATTTTGTTTTGACAACCTTTAGCAAGTTGCGACTCCCTCATGACCAGCGAATAAAAACTTGATATCTTTATTTATGCCTTGTCCACAGGGACAATTTCTACATTTTGGTAAAATTATCTGGCTGACTGGATCATGTGGGCAGGCCTAAGTTCATTTTGTCTCTTGTGTAGTCTGGTTACACAGCACAGTGATAGATGTGTGTGTCATCAAACTGTGTACTGGATACATGTGGACGGCTGATTCGCTAAGCAAAAGTAATGAATACCGATAAAAGATTATCAATATGCATAACCCGGTGTGCGACCACGCTTCATTAATGCACTCCACATCCACTAATGAGTATAGAATTTTATACAATACCTTTATGTCGTTTAGGTAATTTTGTTTTGTAGCATTATACTATTTGTTTTGATGTCGCTCCATTCAATAATTGTTAATAACAATTATAGTAATAATATTGATTATTTGAATGCAAATTTAAAATTGTTATTTGATTCCTGTTACGGTTTTAATTATTTTAAAGATCAAAGTCTTGAGATTTCATATCTGTTGACAAGTTTGGTGATTTGAAAATTGTTGGTTTGAACCGTGGCAATTTTCGAAAGTACGCAAAGCTAAGCTTCACAGGGGTCGAAATACTCTGGTGCACATTGTACTATGCACATAGATTATTAGCTAGTGCAAGTAAACTCAAAATATAATGTGCACACCGTGCAAGTAGAAATTAACACATTTTTTCATTATATTCACTAAGCATAAATTAAGTTCAACCAATATTGTAAGGCAACTAAAAAAAAAAAGCAAATTCTTTCGTGATCGCATCAATCGAGAACTCGTAAATTTTATTTAAACTTTAAGTGGTGCATTTCACAACAAGTTAGTGCAAGTAAATTTCAAATTCAACATGCACACTGTGCATGCAGGGAAACAATTCTGTTTCTATCCCTGGCTTCAAACAATGGTTCGCAAGGCAGTGACCTATGATAGGCCAGATTAACGTTGTTTTTATGTTCTATCAGTTGTCTATCCAATATCACTAACCTATATTTCAATCAGTGGTCTTTGATACATTTTCTTGTTCATGATGTTGAAGTCTCACCACAAAATTTAATTTCCGGGTTACATAAATGTGTATTGAGCTCAATTCATTTTTATAGGTTCCTTATAGCTACTGCCATCTTCAATAAGTTAGTTACTATAATCAGGAAATTTTCATTGTCGTCCTTCATACCAAGATTGCGGGAGCAAAGGAAACTTTTAAAAAGCTATAAACGATCTCGTTTTTTTTTTTAAATGGCTTTGACTCATTTGTACAGGAGGTGTTACAGCAGGAGGGCCGTCTCCACAGGATGGCTGCTAATGTCTTTTAAAACCTTATTAGTGCCCTTACAGTCTTTACAAAGAACACTCCACTGGCTATGTGCAATATTGTAAACACAGGAAACAAAGCAGTGAGACTGAAATTTAAGGAAGTTGGGCTGAGTAACAGACTTGGCCTGTGGTTTATTGATATAAACTTAATTATTTTTGACTGTGAGACCTCCTGACCTAACAAGTGTCTGCAGACGAGAAAGTTTTTGGTTTCAAAAAAAAAAAAAAAAAATGCTCCAGATGTGGCAGAAGCTCAAGTTCAGTTTGGCTGTTGTCAGTATTTATACTTGGGTATACATGGTGTTGTTGCTGGTTGAAGCATTTACTCTAAAGCATTTAATTTTCCCCCTTAAGGAATTTTCACAATTTATGGATTTTACCTCATTTGTAAAAAAAAAAAAAATGTTTTGGAAAGTCACTGATACTCTGTGTCATGGAACCACAGATAAATTTGTCATTGCTACAAAGTTTTGTGATTTTCAATGACTTGCTGTGAATATGGAAATTCCATACATTGGATTAATTATTTTAAGATTGTCTGCTTGAATAAATCAGTCCAGGAAATGATTCCAACACAATCAAAACTGCTAGTCCTATGTTTTAATAAGGCGTGTCCGCTTCCAAAGGTCCACAGTCTACTTTTTATGAATCACCTGACATGTTAAGGGCAAAGGTCATCATTTATAGCACCTCCACCCTTTTATCAGGTGACTACAATGTTTATTGTAGTTTTCTATCATGGGAGAGCAGTGTATTGTTGTGAATCTTTATTGAAATTATGGGCGTTATAATCGTCATATGTATGTCGTCTATTTTGTGTTCTCTTCCCCATGTTTAATTTCTTTAATAAACAACAATTATATGACGGTCTCATTCCTATAATGTACAGGATTTGTATTCCCAACAAACCTTTTAATGCTCACTGGATTTTTTTTTTACTGTAAGTAAATGTGATACTTTGTAATTGTGAAGTGAAAGCAAGATAATAGTTTTATTTATTACTAAATTTGACTAACATTTTTTACATTTACTACAGACAGAAGATGTATACATGTAGGAGTTGTACAACTTTTATTCTATTCTACGATAAATAAATCGGTGTGTTTTTGTAAATATCACTTAAAGGGGAACTTTCCAAGCCCAGGGATTGCACCAAAGAATCATGGGACACTATTGTTTATGTTGTTTACAATGTTAATCTATCTTTTGTTATCCATTGTAATTTTAATCCAGAAAGTAAATTTGTTGTGAGATTAGGTTTAACTGGAAGTGCCTCTTTAAGTTAAATTATTAATATGTACAAGTGTATGTGTATAGTATACTGTAAAATACTTTATTTTTGCTGGAATTAATTTTCGCTGAAAAGGCTTTTTGGGCGTTTTGTATGGAACTTATTTTAACTGATTTTTGATGAATTTAATGTGAAATATAGGAAAAAAAGTATATTCGCTGGATTTTATTTTCACGGAATCATCCATTCAGCGAAAATAAAGTATTCTACAGTATACCTATTTTCCTATATTTTACATTCAACTCGTCAAAAATCAGTGAAAATAAATTCCATACAAAACACCCTGAAATAAAGTATTTTACAGTTTGTGGTATGGTTGGTAATCCTACATTTTACAAGGCCAAAACAGTTGTCAGGTTTGTCTAATTTTCTGTTTAATTCTTCATAATATAATAATCTGTCAGAGAGCTAGATGTGTTGGTGACTTGATGATTTGTTACAACCTCTGTTTAAATTTTCCCCAGTCTCAAAATATAGTCTCTGCAAAATTAAAGTGGGTCACCGTATTATTTGTTCGATAATCCTGGATTTGTAAATTTGTTTCACCATATTGAACTTGTGTAATTCTGTTTTTCACTTTACGCTGGTTAAACATGTTTTTGAGTCATTTTTTTCAAGTTTGTAGTATATATTGATTTGGTGAGTCAGTGCCACTGTTATTGCAGTGTAACAGGTGTTGGGTGTGGTCCTACATTGCACAACACTCATGCCTCTGATATCATAATGCCCAAGGACATGCATACTTACTGCCACAAAGTTGAACCTTGCATGTTTTCTTTTATGTATGCACATGTACCAGTAGTAAAAATATTTAGTCCCTGTTTGGACGTTGGCCAAAAATAGAGACGTCTTTACCTGATCACATTCATGCAAACAAATGTGTCACATGTCTTGAGCAACATGTGCATGTCATTCGCTTCATGTTCAGATCCAAGATGGCTGAATGGCGGCCATTTTTGTGATCAAAATTGATCAAAATCATGCATTTGAAGCTACATGTCTGGTGGCTTGTGATGTTCAATTGAAATATTTTGTTATCTTCACATTTTCTTTTCAAAATAACCAGTCAGACATCAGTTGAAAAAAAAATATGAAAAATTGTTGTAAATGTATCATTTCATAATTTCCTCACATGAACGTTTGAAATGATACAATTTAAAATGAATATCATGATGTCACAACTATGAATTGTGTGCTCATGTATTGGCTGTTTTATAGTGACAATTGTTCTTATGAAGCATGTGTCATTTGGCAAGGAGGATGTTCCTCTGTTTCAGCAGTAATGGTGAATAAAACACCAGTGTATGTCTTTGTGTGAAAGTTCTTACCATCCATCCATGCATACCCTAGGTGTATTCCCGCATAAACCCAAGTAGCTTTTAACATACACATGACTAGGAAAAATGTGGTAAATATATGCAATTACTTCGATAATGGTCAACCCAAGTTTGGTGATGATTTTGTTGGTTTGTTGAAAATTGAAACAATATGTTATATTAACGTACTTTGCATCTGATTTTAATGGGGCTATACCAATTATGTTTGTGGTATCTGGATTTATTTAATGTTCTGAAAAATAATTGAATGGAAAAAAAAAATGCTTTAAAGAGGGTCACAGGTATACGTTACACCAGGTCCACATTTAGTTCCACTTGACCTCAACTACAACACTCTAAGTATAATGTACGTGTCAGTGATACTATTATTGTGTCTTTTTGTCTCATTTGTCTTGGTCTGTGGTCGTCTCCGATTTTGTATTTACAGGAAACAGATAGGGCTTGAACTTGCGTTTTCTGATGCCACCTGATTTCATTCAAACCGGAAATTTCTAAAAGTGACAGAATTGTAAAGAATATGTTTGTCTATTTTAAAGGGTACATCTTATTTATGCATTCACGTAGGGCATCTTAGCAGATGTGGATGTTGAGCCCATAATGGTGTAATGTTGTTGCTGAGTGTTTATAAGGAAATTTGAGCTAATTATTCGTCATGTTTTCGTCATACTGTCATTATTATTAAAAAAGACAAATTCTTTGAGATACAATGGCATTTTTATATTAGTTACCATGGTGATATTATTTTTTTATATCTCCAAATTTTACTCAGTCACATGGAATGACAAACTTGAATTTGGCTCAAACTGCCTACCACCCCCCCCCCAAAAAAAATTGGTTTGGCAATTTTTGTGCACCAGTAAAGTATACCACATATGATATGGTAGAATGTAGGAAATGGTTTGTGTTTGTTGACCCAAATCAACTTTAATGCATTTATTCAAAAACAATATTAAATAAATGTAAAACATTAAACAAACATCTTATTAATATAATATAATCTTAATACAAAAAAAAATAATTAAAAAAAATCTAAATTACATTACCTTGTAATTTTTCCATTGACCCTTGAACGAGAAGTCTTCTTTTTTCTTTTTTTTTTTTTGACTTAAGATACAAATATTCTATATGTCAACTCAGTATTTACTTGTTTTTTTCAATAGTGTTTGAGATATAACTCACTATTCCAAAAGAAATGAGGGGTATTTGACTTTAATTTAGTCTTCCAGTTGACACATGCGTCATAAAAACAATTGTCACTTTAAAACAGCCAAAATAAATAGAACTGAAGTAAAAAAAAACAAAAAAAACTTTTGACACAAAATTATGCACACAAGCACTTGCTTATCTCGACTTGAAACTAATTTTTCTGTTTGTGATTCTGCATGAACATTCACTCTTTCATACCCCTGTTGAATGTAATGTTAATGTGTGGTGTTGATGTCCTAGTTTTGTAGTCTCATCTCTTAATATCAGATGCATTTTTTAGCAGCGAAGGCACTACAACAAACGTTTATTACTACGTATTCTCTCCCACAACTCCACGTGTAATTTGATATTAAAAGTACAATTGCAGCTGCTCATATTTGAGATCTAGTGTTTTGCTAACTTGATATGTTAAAAACTTTGAGTAGCAGATATAGTTACTGACCTTACTCTGACAGCAGCAATTTTCTTAATTTTAGCTGAATTGTAATTATAATAATGAGTGCTTATAAAATTATTTGTCCATAGCAATGAAATATGAATAAAAGAATATTGGATTGGAATTACATATTTTGTATTTGCGTTATTAGATGCACATCTCCAATAGAAACATATATACATTGATTTTGATGATTTTATCGTATTTGCATCTTTCTAATGATGAGTTTCCTTTTTATTCACTACAGAGTTACAAAGCTGACCCAGAAAAACTGTTTATAAAGCAGGAAAGGATCGGGAAAGGTTCGTTTGGGGAGGTGTTCAAAGGGATGGATGTGAGGACAAATGAGGTGGTTGCTATTAAAATAATTGATCTGGAAGAAGCAGAGGATGAGATTGAAGATATTCAACAGGAGATCACAGTGCTTAGCCAGTGCGATTCACCGTATGTTACAAGATACCATGGTTCATATTTGAAAGTAAGTCCATATAATATGTGTGTTAGAAAGCAAAATGGCCGCTATGATATATCCAGTACTGAAGAATACATTGTGATCACTGTGTGGCATGTACTGTAAAAAAATATTTATTTTCACTTGGAATGAATTTTTGCTAGGGGAATTAATGTCAATGAAAATTAATTACATGTGCGATCCAAATTCTATACTTTTCAGCAAAGATAAATTGAAGTTAAATTAATACACATGATTTATCAATCGTTTTTATATGGAAAAAAAAAACCTCCTCATTGAAATTTATTTTTGCAGATTTATTTTGTTTGTAAAAATAAATTGTGAAACTATAATACCGTACTCGTCAGTCTTAGCGCCTAGGATACTCAGCTCCAAAAATCATGTGTTTTAAATATGCAGATAACAAATTTTAGTTCACCATATGACAAATTGAGGGAATTGACTATTTATTTGTTATCTTCAGGCTACGGTAGTTATATTTGGATATTGGGTGTGTTTTCTGACCTTAAAATTCCAACAAATGTACCGATTCATGGAATTACAATGACACAGTTGCCCAGTGAGGCACATTTTAATTTTAGTTTATATACACGTATAACTAAACCTATATCACCATAAATACGTTATTTGTATCTGCCCATTGAATCAATATTTATTTGAAATGGTCTTGTATTAGTGAACCTACGTATACACATGTTCCTATCAATCACTGACAATGTTTCTATTCATACTTGTACCAGTTCTTGCTTCTGGCATTGATTTATTGTCATTGAACGGTGTAATGGAATTATTGTTGACATAGTGCTGTTGATTGGCACATGTTCCTAGGTTGTATGACGGACTAGTTTGTACTATACAACCTTTACTCTACAAGTATATAAGCATATTTTTGAATTGCACAAGAATGCAATGTTTTTAAAATTCCCCATGATTCTGTCATAGTGCTTTTACAGCAAGTCTCAGAAGTATTGGGGCAGCCAATTTGCAAACTCACTAGCGAATTGGCTAACTGCTTGGGTTTTGACTGAACGGTTGGCTTTCGAATCTCGCTGGCGCGGTTCTGTGGTCACGCCCACTCTGGATGAATCTATATTACAGTAGGGGTCGATCTCCCTGATTTATAGGAAACTGTTTCTCAACTTGCCTCTTTATTTAGTTTCAATCAGTGTTCAAGATAGCTACCCCCATATAGTAAATATCTGTGGAGTAATCGCATTTATCATATTATCACTTGTACGCCAGCTGACTGTGGCCATTCCCAAGCCTCGCAAAGCAAACCATTCAGGGGAATCCAAACATGTTCCAGGCTATGTAAAAGCCAGGTGTATGTTTCCTAATGCGATATAGACTCGCCCAGAGTGGACGCGACCACGAGTCGGCGCTAGCGAGCTTCGAAAGCCAACTGTTTAGTCAAAACCCAAGCAGTTAGCCAATTCGCTAGCGAGTTTGCAAATTGGCTGCCCCAACACTTCTGAGACTTGCTGTTATAGATTGCCAATACAATAGGAAATAAATTAAACAGAAAATAAGGAAGCAATAAAACCTGAAACTAGAAGTAGTTCACTTTCTTTATTGCACATATAATTTAGTGATTCACCAACCTACCCCCTCCTTAGCCTTCTTTTCTACAAGAATGTGGAAGTATAAGTTATTACTATCGAGTGTTTACATTGTTTGAGATTGACATATTATTTCCTTGTTGACCGATGACATCCACGTCTGTTCATTAATAGGTCAAGCTTCTGTTCCTTTTTATTTATGCGGGAGGATTATGACACTATTTGAATTTTGAATAAAATTATTTGTAAAGCAATAAATAATAACATGGTAGTAACCCAGTAGTGAGTTACCATATAGTTTCTATTGTATTACTAGTGTAGATTTATTCATAGATGTATAAAGGTTAAATCATTCACAATATGTGCACACATGCTTGCATTGTCGTCTAAGATTAGTTTGTCTGCCTGGCAGTGGTTTGTGCTTGTGCTTGTACACGTATGCAGTTCTATATATCATGCCAACTGTTCTGGTTTTGTTGTAGTTTCTTTATCTCAGCTAGACGGGCAGTCTAATTTATTGTTATTCTTCATTTATTGGCTTAACTTGTAATAAATTACTGGAAGACT